AGGAGGGGCGCTACGGGGCCTGGAGGAGCGCGACGGGGCCCTGGAGGGGCGCTACCAGGCCCTGGAAGGGGCGCGACGGGGCCTGGAGGGGCGCTACGAAGCCCTGAAAGGGGCGCGACGGGGCCTGGAGGGCGCTACGAAGCCCTGGAAGGGGCGCGACGGGGCCCAGAAAGGGGCGCAACGGGGCCCAGGAAGGGGCACGCGGGGCTAGGGAGGGTCGCGACGGGGCTAGGAGCACGACGGGGCCCAGCTAGGGGGCGAGCGGAAGCGTGAGGGGGGGGGGGGGGGGATCCTACCTACGCGTGATACCATATCAAACAGTGAAATTGATAAATAGAGAGAGAGAGTACACAAACATATACCTAACTGTTGTACTCTCTAGAAGATGACCCTATACAGTCTATACAAGCATGATAACTAAACATGTTTGACACTCTCTATTATATATGCTTGTCAGACTGGCCTTGTGGCCTTACCTCCGGTGGCTGGACTAGTAGTATTCTTGCTGACTGGTCTCCAGACCAGGGCTCCCGTTATCAGACCAAATCGGTCTGATGGTCTGAAAATCAGACCGGGTTTTTATGTTTCATCTGATTTTTTTACGAGCCAAATATATTCGTCTGATTGTTCAGACAAGTTATAAGAATTCGTCTGAAACATCAGACCAGGTGTACACATTCATCTGATTTATCAGACCGGCCGTTTTTTTCCGTCTGATACCGACAAACCCACCCTTCTAGCAGCAGGGCCACTATTAGTCCACATGCCCACTGGGCCACTGCCTGCCACCTGGTCCCACGCAGCACGCGCATTCAATTCTACCCCGAGCGCGGCAGCAAAACAGTCCAGCGCACATAAACAGTCTGAATTCTCAGACACGTGCTTGCATTTCGTCTGAATCGTAAGACAGGCAAAACAAATCCGTCTGACGGTCAGACGAAGCTCTAAGTATCCGTCTGATTTTCAGACTGCCCTAAAAACTAGCAGGAGCCCTGCTCCAGACCCCTGCCTCAGTGGTTGGACTAGTAGTGCCGCCCTGAGCTGTTTGCTTCTTGTTTAGTTTCACCCTTGTCTAGCCTAGGGGGTGTGTCAACTTATACATATTATCTATGTAGAAGTTATAGGCTAGACCGAGGTATGCTTCTAGTGAGTACAACCAACTAGTATTTGTTATAGGTTTCCACTTCTAGTAATCATTCGTTCTCACATTGACAAGCATAACTTCATATGTCATTGCCTTGGTGTACTTATGATGCCCTGCATCCACATCTTGTTCCTGAATGTTGAATGTGTATTTATTCATCCATTGCTTCCTTCGTGTGGCAAAGTTGAGGAAAGCTGTGTTGCTTGTACACATCATATGCTTCCATCTCTTGCCACTGCTGACAGAAGGTTGATCTGCAACCAAGGTAGAAACTGAAAGTTGACGTACAACCATAGTGGGGAAAAACATGATGACAGTTGTCACATAGTGTGACCACCACTCGGGAAGAAAACGCTTCAAGCCATAACACCAAAATGTTCCTGGAATCGCTTAGGTCTTCAAATCATCCGTCCACTTGCAGGTGCACCAACTTGAACTCAAATCGAATCCTTCTGTTATCCGATCGCACTGTTACACATCACACGTACTGCACCGGAAGATGCGAGTGTCCTCCCTTCAGGTCCTCTATGAGCAGCTTACGCAAGGCCATGGTAATCGGGCCTGGAGAACCTGTACCAAGGAGGGAAGTGGAGCATGTATCAGGCTTAAACGACAGATCTAACCGTAACACAACTTCACAGAGCTTACCGCTGTCAATGACTTGGTCATCCCATCGAATCACAGGAGTCACCAACACTCCACTGCCAACGAGCATCATTTCTTTGCACTGCCGTGCTTCAGCCCTCTGAAACTGGTCGGTGGCATATCCTGCTCAATCTCAGATCTGAATCTTCACTCAACAGCTTTTCCGAAAGTGCCAAAACCCGCTTCATCGTACACCCTGCCAATACCTGCATCACACTGCCACAGTTCAGCACAACCAGCCAATAAGGCAAGAGCAGTTCAGAAACCAAACAGAGCACAGAAACCGGATTCACCTGGCTGAAGTCAGGAACAAGGAGCTCGTTCTTGTTGTTCACGAACTGCCAGCGGAACAGAAATGAGTGGCGTTAAACAAAGGCCTCAGCCATGTACGTTTATCACACTTCAGAAGGCTTTGTCTAGACTTACAGCAACATTCATGCTGGGACCTTCTCCAATGTTGCCATTTTCATCAATCCAAATGCCTTCAAACACGCCCCTCTGCATATTTCAAGAAGCAGGTTGATTGACACAAATCTGACAACCACATTATGGTGCAAAATCCACTTCATAGGTTGCCTTGCCCGTACCTCTTCAGCCTCCTTCTTCACCAGAGCATTTGGCATGTAGTTTACATTCTTGATCGTTGAAAAGGGTGGAGGTTTCATGGGAACAGTTGACGTGGCCTGAAGTCGAAAAAAACGGGAGCACGTTTCAATGGGTCAGGCCGAGACACATCGAAGGAAATAAAATATATGAAAGAAGAGAGTACTGACCACTGTAACCCCACCAGCAGGAGCATCCAACTTTGTGAACTTATCATCCGCAACGACCATGACGTAAAAGGAACTTCTTGGACACCTGCAAGTGTGGCTGACGGTGTTAGGTAACTGCCAGCATTCCACGACATGCTACAGAGACAGATCGCATTGCATACTCTTTAGTGGATAACGTAAAACCGCCAGGTCCAACTGAGAGCCAGTATCTAGTACTGCCGTCCCTCACTCCGCTGACTGCGCATCAAGCATTGAGTAGACATGAATAATACATGACGCGTCACTGGATTAGACGGGTATGTGCCTGACTTTGAAGAGTTTGGTTAGAAGAGAATACACGCAGCAAAAAATGAAAGGTTGCGGTTACTGACCAGCGACAGTCCGGATGACAATGGCTTTAAGCTCTTCCCGGGAAAAGGGGATTCGATTTTTAGCCATGTGAGCTGATTTTAAGAAACGGTCAATATGCTCGTCGAGTTCATATAAGGACCTGCACGACGGCAAAGAAGACGATTGATCAGGACATGTAAAATTGACGGCTGCTATGAGCATATATGTTACAAGGAAATCTGGAACATTCAGTTACCCCGAGAAAATAATGGCGGTGTCGAAAACAGCATGGCCTCTGTGCGCCATGTGATCGTCGATTGGGATGACCATGGCCGCTGGATCCTTCGTGATCCCACCAATCACACTCGAGTAGAACGCTCGATAGCTCTGCTGATTAGGATGCGTGTGGCCAGAAAGCCTCTCCACCACCTATTGAACGAATTCAACTGTGAGAAGTCTTTTGCATGACTAATTGAAATCGATTGCTGGCAATCACGTACCTCTGTTCGCGAAAGGACTGGAATCGGTTCCACATTGCTCATCGAAATTTTGCTCGATGCTGGGCAGACACAACGCAACTGGTTTTGCAGACTTTCGGAAGCCTTAGCCTGGCAACCTCTTGAGCCGAGTGAACGAGTGGCACAAACCCCCGAGCGGAACCGACACGCGATTAAAGCTGCGTGCTGACGAACACAATTGCGGCACATTCTGAGAATTATCCATCGGATCAAACAGGCGGCTTGCGATAAAGCGCCAGAGGTTAAAGACGCCATAGTGGTCAATAAAGAGAGAGTGCGCTGCGGAGGTTCTTAGCAATGCGAACCTCCGTGCTGAAGGCCAAGGAGGCGTATTCGCGATTGGTGGTGACCACCAAATCCGTTATCTTGACCCTAGCTACCCCTTATCCAACTCTGGTGTGGACTAGGTCCAACGGCCTACACAACAGACTGGGATGCATGCAACTTGCAACTTGCATGCTGATGTTGGAAATCAATGACTGGATGTATGAAGACGGTAAGAGCTCCGACCGACATTGAGTGCTCCGCTGCGCTCTACACGGGCTGTTGAAAATACCGCAGCCCAAGGAAAAAGTAGATGGACAATCAAAACATACCTATTTACAAGATGCACAAAGCAGATCAACCACAGCAATTTCAGCTGGGATCACCAATTCCACTTTTACAGCCCGGGATGCCTCATTTAGCGTTGCCTAATCAAATGGGGACTCGATATCAGCATTCACTTCAGCTGCTTTTTCAAGTTTCAAGAAACTCCTTGGCTCTATTGAGCAGTGGATGGCAATCCACATCGGGCGCATGGAGCGCCCTGCTGCTCTGAACCTTCTTGGCAAGGTCAACTGCAAGCGCACGCCATTGCTGCTCTCTTTCTCTGCCACAGCAATCTGCCATCAGACAAAAGGGACCACAACAACGGCAAGAACAAGCTCGTATCAACATTTCGACGAAAGCATACATGTGTCTTGGCCCAGCTAAACCAGCACACAATGTCACCAAAAAGTTTGAGTCTCACAATGAAGCATGCACACTCACCCTGTGCCGCGCATCCATCTCCAGCATGTGCGATGCTGAGCGCACCACTGAAGGAGTTCATCAGCAGAAGCGGACTTTGATCAGCCCAGCCACCAGGCTGGCCTGACGCAGCAAAACTTCTCTGCCCCTTGCTTGCACCACTTCTCCTCCTGCCACCAAGTTCAAGCCCGCCACGCATGCTACTGTCATTGCTAGAAGCACTGTTCCTTCTGCTCCTGGGCACAGGAATGGGCGCTTCACTGAAAGCCCTCCCATGCCCACTTCCAACCGAGACCCTTTGCTCCCTCCGCCCTTCTTGCTCGGCAACTCATACCCCATCCCCTGGTCTTCTCCTCCTCCTCCTGTCTGATTCACTTCCCTGCATCCTTCTTGCCTTCCAGCCCACCCTTCATCCAGCACTGCTGCAGTGGCACCACCACTCGTGCCTTCCCTCCCTGCTGCCGCCTCAGCTCGCGTGTGTACTCCTGCCTCAGCAACCGAGTCAACCACAGGTGACACTTCAAATGATACACGCCTGCTCAATCGGCCTTGTCCTACAGCCACCCCAGCAGCTTTTCCCTCCCATCTCTCTGCGCTCCCACGCCTCACCATACGCCTCATCTGCTTCTGTTCAGGCGTTGGAGCTTGTGCCGCAGTTCCTGCTGCTGCTCCTGCTGCAAATGCCGAGCCTGTTGATCCTGCTCTGATTGTCGCTGGTGCAGCGGTGGCAGCCACTGGAGCTAACAGCACAGCCCCACTCACTGCAGCCCCAGGTGCTGCCTGCATGGGCCATGTCCCTCCAAGAGCAGCGTTCCCTCCACCTGAACTGCTCAAACCACCTGGAACACCTGGAGGCCCACTTGCTGGGCTGCTGCTGCCAGAGTCACCTTCGATGACAGGAGGGAGCGAGGCGAAGGACAAGTCATGCTCCACTCCTGCCAGAGGCAGGAACATCCCTCCACCACGCACCCCTTGCGCATCCCCTCTCTCTCCTGCTCCTACTCTAGCGAAATCTGCTTCATTTGACTCTCTTGCCTCACCAATTTGGGCACCAACACCAGCAGTGCCTCGATCCACATAACCTCCTCCTGCTGGCACCGCATCACCAGCTATTGAGCTTCCACCTTCTGCTGACACACCCCTTCCTCCTGCTGCCACTGTCCCTGCCCATGCTGCTGCCGCTGAATTTCCCCATACTCCGCCGCCCCATATTCCGCTTCCCCAGCCTGACCCGGGCCCTAGCCCAAGGGAAAGAATGCTCATGAAGCTTGAATTTTTCCGAATCGAATCGTTCGCACCAAGAGCAGGAGAGTCACCACCAACAGCTGCAGCCACGGAGAGTGGGCATGCGAGGGAGACTTGAGAGGCAGACGCAGAGTCAGCAGGGGGTGGGAAGGGCAAAGGGGCATCTCTCCGGCCCATGATGGCGCCTGATTTGTCGGTTGAGACGGCAGTGGGGTGGCGGAGAACGCTGGGGAGAGAGGAGAGGGAGGAGAGGTTGCGAAGATTCTCCCAGGAGGGCGCGTGGGGGAGGAAGTGGGGGCGGCGCAGAGTGGCTGGGACCGGCTGCATGTCGTGAAACTTGGTGAAGTCCTGGACGGGTGGAGGGAGATGTGGACGTTGATCGGGTAACGAGGATGTGTATGTGGGTTGAACAACATGAGAAGGGTTGGAAATAGCAAGAACCACCAATGACCTGCTCTATGTGCATGTGAGCGTGTGTGGAGAGAAGGAGAGAGCAGGAGAGAGGAGGCGAGGTGGACAGATGGAAGGAACGAGCAGAAGATTGGAGGCACAAGAATGCATCATCACAAAATCAGTGACTCACCACCCGGCGGATTCCACTTGGAGATCGCTTGACCATGGTGCTGATGGCGTGAATGAAACGAGATACGCAAATCGGGGGGGAGAAGAGAAAAGAGCAAGTAAAGAAAGGAATGGCCAATACGTTTATAAGGGCCCAAGGCCTGCAAGATACTGTGTTCTTCCAACGGGCAATGCCGCGAGTTGTGGGAAAGCGAGGTGAGTCTTGGTCCGTGTGATAGTGGGGGGCTGGGCCGGAGTGAGCAAGGCGGAGAAGGTGAGCCAATGGATGAGAAGGGGAGTGTGTGGTAGTGAGAGGGGCTGCGTGCTCTGGGCTCACCAGAAGCGGTGATTGAACTTGATGTCACGAGGCGAGTAGGAATGCCGGGCTGGGGCCAAAGGGGCACATAGGCGGGGCAGCACGAAGCACAGTAGCTGAGTAAAGAGGCAACGCTAGATAAGACATCATGAGGGATGCATGCAAGGCACAAGCTCTTCACTGTTGCAGAATCCACACGCAGTGAAGAGGGAAGCAGACAAGGTAGCTCTGGCGACGCATTTGCACTAATGCATAACACGAGGCATTGTACAGCAAGCCATAACCACCTTGCAGCTTGGCTGATGTAGGAGCATCCACACCCTCTATAAGCACGAGGAACTCAATGTCAGCCCGTTCCATCATCTACAGTCACACAGTAAAGGGGCGATAGGCATTGAACGGGTGAAAGGGAGCCACTGGAAGGTTAACGACAAAAGCAGGCATCATCTTGGAGCACTAGGGCAATGGAATGCAGAATGAGACGGGATGGGGGACTTACAGCAAGGGACATGCCATGCAGTGGGCTGTGCTTCGTGATCGCATGCGTGATGATGCAGGGGAGAGCAAGAAAGACGAAACCCCCTCCAAGGATCTGCAACGCCACAGCCCCCGGAATGGGATGGAAAGCAGATTAGCAAGACCCGTTCTGAAAGAAAAAGCATACTGTAGCATGCTAATATTCCAAGTTACAAAACTAGCTCTGGTATTAGTAGGAGTTCCTAAAGCGGGATGCCATTGCCTGAAATATGGATCTGAAACAAAACTAAATTTTGTATTATTAAGATGGGACTGACCGGAAGGTTGGAGAATTTGAAGAGCGCCTCGTTCTCCTCACTCATGATGTTATTGATTGCCACCAGCAGCTGTGCATGCGCCTGGAAAAGAAAGAGAGAGAGAAAAAAAACATTAAATTCAAGAATTAGCTGTCAGCCAGTCTTTGGTTAGTGCTTGTGAAGCCAACCACCACCTTGATCATGCTGTTGCACTTGGTGCTTACCTCTATGAGTTGGTGCTTGCGAACATTAGCAACCCGAAATGAAAGACGAGGCACTCCGTCTTCCTGCCACAGTAGAATACAAGGCAAAGTGAAACAACAGAGCAGAGTCAAGATATGGACGACAGTAAGGTCATGACAGCCTTCAATGCATTGAAACAGCGGCAACACACACTACCTCGTTGAGCACCATGTATTGGCTGAACACGAGTGATGATGCTCGACGGGACGGAAGGGCGAACCTGCAACCATGACAGAGCCGACAGACCACAATGTTGCCAGCATATCTGAAATGCACGTCTGCATATCTAAGAAGCATACAATATCGTACGTTTTCTACACTAAACTTTGCTCCCTGCTCTACACTTACCTTGTGTAGACTATCCCCAGCAAGGCATAGGCGACAATCAGAGCAGCAAGCGATTGGAGGGCGATGAGAAGGTTCAATGTGAAGCAGTCAGGATCAGGGATCAAGTCTCCCCCAAACCCTGCACACAAGAGGGATTCAGCGTAGCAGGATAAGGAAAGAAGCGGGAGTGGTGGATCAGGTCTGTGACGGGCAGCAAAGACAACAGTGCTAGAAATATGGGAAGCTAGGTCATACCACTTACCAATGGTCATGGCGGACTGAACACTGATTTTAGCCAAGAATGAGGGGCAAGTCAAAATTGCCGCATACGTTTTAGCGAGGTCGATGTAGCCGCGATTCCAGGGATAGATGTTGCCACATTAAGTCCAGGTAGAATCAAAGGTTACCACAGCGAGTCCAGACGATAACATGTTGTCACATGTGGAGGATGTTATCCATGCAAGCGGAGATGATATCACAAGTCAGCCACAGGTAGCAAAAAAGCTTTCAACCACAAAGCACATTCCAGAAGTTCTTGACTCACCTGAACCACAGTGCATGCCAGTAGTTCTTAACTCCTGGGATGCAGTTGTACTGTACGGACTGGTCAAATACACCCACACTCCACACATCCACACAAACCAGAAAAGACAACCATCTTGCTGCTTCAATAAAACCTGGTCATAACAAAAGATCAAGTTAACGGAAAAAGTTAAGTGGTGCCGATATACCATCTGAGAGCTGATGCCCACCTGATAGTAATACGGGAGTGCAAACCCTCCAAAAAGCAACGAGTAGACGAGCAGAAGTAACGGGTAGAAGCGGACGTTAGGGATCTGCAACGGAATTTTTCACGAAGGGGTGCCACACGTGTCAGGTGAAGCAGTACCCCAATCAGCTAGAGCACATCTGCTAGCCAGTGTGACCCAGCGCAGGAGCATGCAGCAGCGAGGACATCAGCATGCAGCAATCAGCAGGGGGGGACTGGGATGACTGCAGCATGCGGGCGTTCGTACGTTGATCAGCGTGTGGAAGAGATCGCTCCAATACGCCGTCAGCTTAGGAACTCCACGCCGTTCCACGTTCAAACTACCCCTGCACGCAAAACCGTAAGCTGCTGTTAGAGCGGGAAGGGGGGTGAGAGAAGACCGAGAGAGGAGAGCGCCAGGCTAAGCACCTGCATCGTCAGTAATGAAATAACGGAAATCGTCGACTCACGATGTATCGACCAACGGCAGTTTAGCTGGTTTCTGCTCCATGTCGCCTTGTGACCCACGTTTCCGCAAGAATGATCCATATAGTGTCCTTTGGGGGTTTGACGCCTGCTTCGTGTGCACCGGAAGCAGCGGCTCCCTGTCGTCCCAGCTGTTATCGCGCCGTAGATTGCTCCGACTGCCGCTACTGCACGCAGACTGCGGACTGTCGACTGGGCTCCTACTGCCCGAGCTGCTGCTGGGACCAGGATCGTACGAGACTGTTATCTCGCCTTCGACTCGCCGCTTTGGCATCGGAGGAGCGATGGTTCGGTAAGAAACCGTTGAGAGTTCGCCACACGGCTATTAGTCCAGGAGGAGCCTAGGAAGGGAGGAATGAGATTCTGCGATCAGGTAGCCAGACTATGCAAGGACCAACCAGTCTGATAAGTGGTGGCAGTGGTGGTGATCAGTGGATCAATTTGAGCAGCTTGGAGAGTGAGGGAAAGCTTAAGGGAAATTATCAGAAAGGGTCCTCGCTCTGCCAGGGGTGTGAGCCAAAAAGGTCCGTCTACCTCCGAGCCTGTAATACACTTGGTTATATTTTTAGTACTTAGTAAACGTTTATCAACGAAAAGGCAAAAACATAAAACCCATTTGGGACCGAATTCCGTTCGAGATGGCATCAATCCTAAACACGCAGGTCTTTTGCGAGGGTTGATGCCACCCGGAGTCGCATGTGAGGGCCCTACGGGTTTAAGTTTTTTTTAATGCCCTAAAACACTGCTCGTATATATGTCCCACCTCACAGGGTCACGATACGACGCGCCCCACAAACCTGACCTGTGTCGCAAACCAGAAATATTTACGTGTTGTACGACGAAGGCGATGTATCACAGGTTCGGAGACAAGGTCTCGGGGCAGAAAGCTGCCGGACCTTTTTTGCTCACGCCTCTGGTGGGGCGAGGACCCTTTTTGATAATTTCCCAAGCTCAAATACTCAACCTCGCTTTCCAAATTTTCTCTAGGACTGTACAGTACAAGACAGAGAATAGCCGGCCACTTATAGCGAGTCCAACGCACCTGTGCCTCTTGCGTGTGGTTGGGTTCGGAACTTGAGTGACACGGTGAACGGGGACAGCGAATGAGGGAACATGAGGAGGTGACGTGGACCCGGAGTACGTCCACGGTAGACGTGGCCAGGTGTCCCCCGCCACTCTCCCATTGGCTTAGACACCCCCTAAAGCTTTCTGCCTTGAGCTGGTGTGTGCGCCGAACCTAGCCTCCAGTGGTGGCTTCGCCGTGCGAAGCATGAGTTTGCCGAACCTAACCAGCTTTGGGATTGCTTTTGAAGTGCGTCGCATGCAGCTCATGCGCAGCTCATTTGCCTAACACCTCATTTTCAAGCTTCACAGCTGCTCATTGCTCATTCACCACCTTGGCAGCTGCTTGGGTGCTCCTCCTCCTTGATTCGCAGCTCGACAGTCGCTGGTCATGGCGCTTCAGCCTGTGCACTCTCTTCGTGTGCACTCCTTGCCTGGAGTCTCGCATCCTATTTGCTCCGTCGGAGGCCACTCCTGCATCCGATCACTCACCGACGGCCTCCCGCATCCCACACACCGTGTAGCATCCTCCGCAAGCTTACGAAGTCATGGACGTGCTTCATTGAATTTCCGTCCTGGGACGTCTCTCTCCCGTGTCACATCAGCACCTACTCGCAAAAGAGCATTAACCGCAGCTGCCTCGGTGGGTCAGAACGAGCCAACTTCACAGCGCGAGGGGGGTGCGTCATTAGCGTCCTTTGCCTCTGATGGCTCCTTCCCACCACCTGATGGTCCCTCTAGGGCACCAACAGGCCATGACCGGACGGAGCCTGTGGACGTGCTGAAGAGTCGCTTAGGCCAATCCTTGTCGCTGCTGTTTGCAAATCCGTCGCATAGTATTCGCGAAGCATGCGACCAACTCGGACGGTTTGCTGCGTCCATCGCTATCACCGCGACTGTCCTGTCATCCGCCATGCCAGCATACGCTGGTGCCGTGCTGGCACCGCCACGTAAGCTTATGGCGGATGAGCTGGCGACGGTGAAGCTGTTCAACGACAACACCGCGTCCGTCGTGTACATTACGAACCTCGCCACTAGGTGAGTGGCTGCATTCGCAAGCTCAACAGCAGCTCTTCAATTCCCCGCAGCGAGGATGAGGGGTGTCCGGAGAACCCACTCCGGAACGTAGGAAATGTACAGGCTGAGACAAAGACCCACTCCGGACCGTAGGAACGTAGGTGACGCATGGCACCTTGAAACCAACCCACTGAACGGTGTGTTTGTGTGCATATTCTTATAAGCGGGCCTATATGGATGTATTATTGTGTCCCATGTGTGCCCACATGTGCCTGCATCACGTGCGTGCTTGCATGTGTTGATCTGCTTTTGAGCATCTGTCTGTGCATGTGAGCATGTGTGTGTGGCCGTGCATGTGAGCATGTGTGTGTGGCCGATGCGAGCATGTGTGTGTGGCCGTGCATGTGAGCATGTGTTTGTGGCCGTGCATGTGAGCATGTGTGTGTGGCCGTGCATGTGAGCATGTGTGTGTGGCCGTGCATGTGATCATGCATGTGCATGGGACTGCGTGTGCAGGAAGGACGCGTTCACTCTGGATGTGATGCAGGTGCCGCAGGGGACAGGGTCGGGCTTCATATGGGACACGGAGGGCCACGTGGTCACCAACTTCCACGTCATCAGGCGCGCCTCCGACCTCAGGTATGATCCAGGGAGGAGCGTCTCACACGCACATGCATATTGATTGGCAGTTGTCGCACATCACCGCCTGGACATGGCAGCGCATAACGACAGACATTCAAATGCACCGCACAGCGATTCGACACAGCTCTATCGTTTTCACTCCTCCCATCCTCTCCTCTCTCCTCTTCCCCACCCTCCCCCCACACCTCCCGTCCCATCTTCCCCCCAAACCCCCTCACCACGTCCTCCCTTCCTTTAGAGTGACCCTATCGGACCAGTCGGTGTACGCGGCGACGGTGGTGGGAGCGGACCCAAACAAGGACGTGGCGGTGCTGCGCATCGATGCCCCCGCCGCCAAGCTCAGACCGCTGCCCGTGGGGTGCTCCTCCGACCTGCTCGTCGGCCAGAAGGTCTTCGCCATCGGCAACCCTGTGAGTGCCGCGGCTGGCACCCCTGTTCCGTGACTCCCTCCCCACTACTGCTTCATCCCCCATCCCTCCTTTCCATGTGCTTTGCTCATCCAACTCCGCCTGCATGTCCTGTGTTAGCGGCGTTGTGTCCTCTCCATCCATCTGCGTTCACCACATTTCAACGTGTCCTCTCGTTCCCTCCCTACTCCCCTCTCTGTGACTTTCTGCTGTCATGGCGCGTCAGTTCGGATTGGATCACACACTCACAACCGGAGTCATCAGGTACACCCTCCATCTCCCTCCTCTTCTTCCAACCATCCCCACTGTCTCATCCCTTTGCGTGTTCTGTCTCGTGCTACTTACTCGTCCTGTGTGATTGCATGCATAAGCTCCCATTCTCCTCCGCACTCCCCCCTTTTTCCAGTGGATTGCAGCGTGAGATAACATCGGTGACGCGGCGGCCCATTCAGGACGTGATTCAGACGGACGCGGCCATCAACCCGGGCAACAGCGGGGGGCCTCTCCTTGACTCCAGCGGCACGCTCATCGGCATCAACACCGCCATCTACTCGCCCTCGGGCGCATCCTCGGGCGTCGGATTCGCCATCCCTGTCGACACAGTGCGTGCTTTGCTGCCTCTGCAGAGGATTTGCTTCATGCCACACCTGTCTCATTCCCGTTCTCACATGCTTGGGTCAAAACCCATTCGGTTCCACATCTTGCGGCACACGTCAAGCAGACTCGTGACACATGCATCACATCTCAATTCACATGCGTGTGTGTGTGTGTGGCAGGTGAGTGGCATCGTGGATCAGATCATCTCATACGGCCAGGTGACGCGCCCTGCGCTGAACCTGGCGTTTGCACCGGAGCAGCTGGTGGAGCAGCTCGGCATCTCGGGCGTGCTCGTGCTCGAAGTCAACCCCAGCGGCGCTGCCGCCAAGGCCGTGAGTCCATCTATCAATGCCGCCCCTTACTGTATTTTCTTACATCCAGTATGGCTATTTTTATGCTGCAAAAGCAACCTGTTCTCATGCTCAACAACACACTGGACTCCCCCATCTCATGTGGCCACTACACCCCTTCCAACGGCCTCCTCTCCTGCCTCCCTTCCCCCAGGGCCTGCGCCCCACGTCGCGCGACAGCTTTGGACGGCTGCTGCTGGGCGACATCATCACAGCCATTGACGGCAAGCCCGTCCAGTCGGGGTCCGACCTCTACAAGATCCTCGACAAGTGCAAAGTGGGCCAGACGGTGAGTGCACGCACATGGCTGGATTGGTGCTCGTATTCTGAGCATACATGCATGGGTGATGGTGGGGATGTGAGTGTAACACACATGCTGTGGTGCCAGTGCTTGTTGCTTCTTCACGTCATTTCTGGCGCCCTAATCGCTGCTGTGAGGCGCTGTGCTGAGCAGGTTGACGTGCGTGTGCTGAGAGGGGACGACGAGGTCAGTGTGCTCGTCACATTGGACGGGCTCAGTGGGTGATGTGCAGCTGGGTGACCTGCCCACTTGCACCGACCGGTGGGGCCCTGATAGAACAAGGATCGATGTCTAGAGTTGTGGCACAACAGTGAATATATTATTTATTGCATTGCATCTTGCAGCCTCGAGACAGCAGAAGCAGGACAGAGCAAGACAACAGCATCAAAGAACTCTACGCGCGAACGAGAGCAGCATCCTTTGCCACCATGGTTCTGGCATGGGGTGTGCTGAGAAACGCCTCCACTATGTCTGAGAACTCTTCCTCCACGAACCTGCCTCTCCCGCCTGCCATCGTCTTGCTCCATAACGCCCTCTCCTCCCGCGCTGCCCTCTCTCCCCACTCCTCTAACCGTGCCTTCCTCTGCCTGTGCCTACGCCTTGGAGTTTCCACATTGGGCATCCCTACCTCTGCCGTCCGCTCCTTGCTACCTGCCCCGTTTGGCCCTACCCCTCGTGCGCCCACGAGCGCCTCTGCAATCCGTTCCTGTCGGGCCTGTGCTGCCCGTGCCAGCATCGCCACATTCACTGTCTGCATCCGCAGCACCCCCACCTCTGCCTCTGAACCATCCCCTCCGTGTGCTCGCCTGCCTCCCGCCTCCTCCCCCCCTCCCCCCTCATGCCGTGCGGCGGCCTTCACACGCGGCAGTCGCCCCCACACGGGGCGGTAGAGGCTCTCAGACCTCGAGCTCCAAGCGCCACTGCCATCGCACTCCCCCTCCTCCGCTTCCTCCCCCTCCTCCAAAGCCCGCTGGGAGATGGCAGCAGGGCGCCCGCTGCCTCTCAGCCGCGCACTCCGCTTCACTCCTGCCCCTGCCGGGCTGTCTTGGCTGCTCCGGTTGCTCGGTGTGCCGGGGTCAGCAGTGGGAGAGGAAGAATGCACATCAGTGCTTGTGGCTGGATGGCTCAGCGTGGCAATGCTGGCTGCAAGGGGGAGTGGTGCAGCAGCATCAGCAAGCAGGTCTGATGCCAAGGAGCCTGCCGTGCTTGCGGTGTGGTGCAGGGGGGTGGGGCTGCTGAGGAAGCTTGAGACAGAGTCCGGCAGCACGGCCCACGAGAGAGGTGCACCCAGGGCGAAGTGGGACGTACTCCTGGGAGTACTAGGGCTGGCAAACGGCTCCTGTGACACCTGCTGCGCACCCCCTGGCCCTGCCTCTGCGCCGCCCATGCCACGTGCCCACCATTGTGCACTATCGCTGCCTTTCCCGCACTCGCTCACCGCATCTTTCCCGGTCGCGCCTCTCCCCCCCAGCCGCTCTGCCACGTCCGCCACCACCAGTCGTGCCAGCGCCTTGGTGGCTGACCGGGTCACCTGCTTCACCCCCTCCTGCCTCCCCCACGCCACGCCTTCCTCGCCCGCCTCGCCTTCCTCGCCCGCCTCGCCTTCCTCGCCTGCCATGCCCGCCTCCGCCGCCTCTGCCGTCTCTGGCGCCTCTGCTCCTGCGCCCGTCCCCGCCCCGCCCTCAGCTGCGCCCGCGCTCGCCGGCGCTGAATCCGTGCAGATTTCCCCGACGACCCCCCCATCCCCGTGTTGCCCTCCACTTTCCGCCTCCGCGTGCCCCGCAGCGAGTGCTGCCGTTGGGAGGGGCGATGGCTGTGCCCGTGGTGACTCAGAAGGTTGTGACTCTAACGGAAGGTAGCTGCGAGCGCGCCGAGCGGCGTCATACAGGGAAAAGCAGCCGCTTGCAAAGCCACGCGCTGACCTCCCGTGGGGCGGTGACGGTTCGCCGTGGGATGGCGAAGCCTGTTGGGAAGATTCGCGCGCGTCAGCTGCTCCTGGCGCCTGTGGCGGCGGGAGTCGCGGAAGGGCTTGGGCAGGTGTAGCCGCTCCCATGGCGGAAAGAATCGGCGCGCGGGACGTGGAGCACTCAGTGGAGGGGGGACAGAATGGCGCAATGTGGGGGACGGACGGATTGCGGGAGGCAGCGGGACGCGGGGCGCATGCAGCGAAGGTCTTAGGCGAGGGGGATGGGACACATGCAGTATGATAAGAGAAAGCAGCACGAGATGGCGATGATGTAGAAAGGGTAAGAATACGCGCCTCATGGGGCCTCACGCCGGGGCGACTCGTGGAGGGCAATGCGGCGCTGAATGCTGCCGTGCGCCGCGCGCTACGAGGGAGACAGACGAGGGCCCAGTCCCGTCCCAGGCAGCCAGCTACGGCCGTCCACGCGCGGCAGCCTCAGCCGACCCTCCCGAATCCGCTGATTTGGAACTTGTTGAAGCGTCTGCAGATGCAAAGGCTGCGAATTCTGCGGATGTTGGCGAACTCGAACAAGCTCTGCGGACAGGGAGGTCGCGTGACGTCAGGCGTTGGGGAAATCTCGGATTATCGGCCGTGCCGAGGGCTGGCAGTGGGCCAGTTGCGAGGGGCGGGGAACGCGGCAGAGAAGGCAACGAGAAGGCCATGGCAGGAACGGTGGATGCACGTTGAGACGGGTGGGCAGACATGCCAGATAATGCGGAGCGCAACTCGAGATCGATTTGCCATGAGACAGTCAGGGCAAGTTGAGCTGCTTGGCTTGGACTCCATGAAACGAGCTGGAATGAAGTACACGTCATGCGCGGCCAAGGGGGGATCGACGCACTCACACGTGCTGGTGACGCACGAGAAAATGAGAGCAGCCGAAACCGTTTATCCCCGATTGGAACTCGCTTTGAATGAAGCTCCACCTCAACTTGTGCTAAATGCAGTCAAAAATCATACACAGTATGACAGAGGTAGTGACACAGAATGGACTCCGCATAAGAGAAGCCTGATGCATATGAAGGTGAATGCTAAACCTGCTCGTCCAAATGGCCCCACACTGCAGCAGCAATCTCCTCCAAACTCTTTGCGTCTGCGAGCTCCTTCCTATAACGGAACACACGGCTGAGAGCATCGTTCTGATGAAGCAAGGTGTAACACCTGAAAGAGGGAAGGTGGGAAGGATAGGGAATGATTAGAGCGCAAAAATATATGTATGTATGTTAGAGCCATAGCTACAAATGAAGGGCATCAATCCACTCACATGGCACGGTACGACTGGGTGAAATGTGCTCCTCCATGTGCGGGCAGTGGTGGCTTGTAGCTGGCGAGCAGTCTGGTGAGGTCGGCTTTGTTGCAGCGCTGCGCGCTGACATGCAGCATGATGAGGTCGTACAGGGGGTCGCCTGGTGCCGTGGGGGATGGGTGTAGGTCAGGGTTGTTTTTTTAGAGCATGTGGGGTAAGGGTCAGCTTTGCGCAATACCAGCAAGCAAGCGACCGGAGGGTTAGATTGAGACCATTCATGATGGCATGCAAGAAACGAGAGGGCTTACCAAGAATGAGCGTGCCAAAGTCAATGATTGAAGATGGCTCAAGCAGCCGCTCCCCATTCACCGCCACCTTCTCCTCTCCACCCTCCCCTCTACCACGATTCTTCTGACCCGCCTCCCCTTCTGAGCCCTTGTTTCCCTCCGTGCCCTCCGTGCCCTCCATGCCCTCCGTGCCCTCCCTGCCCTCCTTGCCTTCCTTGCCTTCCCTGGCCGCCTTGCCGCGGGCCACAAACGCCTCGATGGCGGGTGTGGCAGCAGGGGATGCGGAAGCGAGCAGCACGTTGTCGCTCATGATGTCCGTGTGCAGCCATGAGGGGCGCGGCTGGGACGGCACACGGGGAGCAAGGGGTATGTGAACGAAGTTGAGGAGTGGGGAGGGGAAGGGAAGGTGGAGCAGAGAGGGAAGGATGGGATGGGCTGCGTGGAGAAATACGCTTGGGCAGCCTAGCGTATTGCGTACATACGCTAGCGTATAATACGAATACGCTGTACGCTAGCTAAGTACGCAATACGCTAGCGTATTTCTTGGCGGGCAGCCCGGCAAGAAATACGCAAAAAACGATGCGACAAATTTGCGACATGACGAAACCCCACAGGGATTTCGCCATGTCGCAAACCGAAATTTGGCTTTTCAAATCGTCAACCCAACCCCTTCGCCCCTCCCAACCACACAGCATCCCACCCAATCTGCGACTTCCAAACAACACCCAAAGAAATCTCCTTCCTCTCCCTCTCTACTCTACTCCAGCAGGGTTCAGCGCAGTTCACTCCTACGACGAAATCAGGGTACAAGTAAACTGGCGCGCTAACTTCAGTCATTTCTTCTTCCAAGCTAGCGCGACTAGCTAGCTGGTTTTTTAGCGACTGTTGCTATGTCGAACCCTTCACCTAGTCCTGGTTCCCACGGAACCGACGCGGGAACCTCCTGTGCTGCGTCTTCCTCTGACGAGCTCCTGGAGAACTCCACCCACGCTATCTTTAAGCATTTCAAGTTTAAGCATAAGGAGCACGGCAAGCAGCAAAAGTATTGGTGCAAGTACTGCCCCGTATCCTTTACCGGGACGGCCTACCGCTGCGCACAGCACATCACTAGTTGGGATGGTATGCGTAGGCGCGAGGTTCGGAAATGCGAGGAGGTAGGGAAGGAGGAGCAGGCTGCCGTCCGCGCGTTCCAAACCGCCAAAGTGCTCGCGAGGGAGGAGGCGCATAGGGCGGAGGAGTCGGCCCTCGACGCCGTTAGTGGTCGAGGAAAGCGGAAGATCACCGATTACCTGTCCGATGACGCCCAAGCGGCCAAGGCGGCGGCGGACGAGGCTATTTGCCTCCTCTTTGCCGGCCTCCGCCTTCCCGAGCGCCATGCCGACCACCCGCTTTGGCGCAACGCCGTCCGGTCCATCGCGCGCGCGGGGACCAGCTATGTGCCTCCAAAGCGCGACTACGTGGGTGGTGCCGGCTTGCAGCTATGCCGCAAGCGGATTGACGAGGGATTGACGGGCGTCATGTCGAGCTGGAAGCGCCACGGCGTGACGATTGCCAGCGACATGATGACCGACAAGTGTGGCAGGCCGCAGGCGAATGTGATGCTGGTCAATGACACCGGCGCAGTGTTCGTCGAGAGTATTGACTGCAAGATGGAGAAAAAGACCGGGGGATACATCGCCCGGCTCCTCCGGCCCATCCTGCAAAAGGTTGGGGTCGAGAACATCGTGGCATTCTGCACCGATGGCGGCAGCAACTACCACAGCGCCTGCCGGCTCCTCATTGCAGAGAATCCGCGCATCGAGCATGTGCCGTGTGCGACGCACGTGCTCGACCTCCTTATGGAGGATGTGGGACGGCAGGCTTGGGCCAAGGAGGTAGTGGGGCGGGCGAGCGAGCTCATCAACTACACCCGCAGCCACCATTGGACCCGACAGTATCTCAGGGGTGTGGACGGAGGGAAGGGGCTGCAGATGCTGAGGCCGGCGGGGACCAGGTTTGGGACGCAGCACATTGCTGTGTCCCGCCTGGTGGAGTTGCGGTCAACGCTGGTGACCATGGTGCTCTGCGATGCATGGAAGGCGGAGTGGGCGGTGGGCCCAAAGAAGGCAGCTGCAGAGACATTCCACGACCAGATCATGGATAAGGACTGGTGGCCAGCGGCTGAGCTCTTCAAGAGGCTGCTCCTGCTCCCGTTCAAGGCCATGAGGGCGACGGATTCGGCAACGAAAGGGATGATGGGCCGCATCTATGAGCTGATGCTTGAGCTCACTGTGAATGTGGCAGAACTGCTGAAGGAGGAGGGGGATGGGGTGCTGAGTGCGGGAGACAAGAAGGGCGTCAATGAGATTGTGAAGCGGCGTTGGGATGAGAGTATGGCTTGCCCACTGCACGTGGTCGGGCGGATTCTTAACCCGGTCAACCAGGAGGAGCGGATTTTTGGGCCGGACACGGAGTGCACCAATGTGTTCAAAGCTTTCATTGCCCGCCACTATGGCGGGGTGATGATTCCCCAGAGGGATGGCCTGCCCAAGCGTGCCACACTCCTCCTGCAGGAAGGGTTGGCCGCCTTTCTGAAGTTGAGGGGCAGCTTCGGCACGGCTGAGGCCATCAGTGACCGGAAGTTGGTGAAGGAAGGAAGTTATTCCATGGAGGCGTGGTGGGAGTGGCACGGCACTGACCACCCCTTGCTCATGGCCCTTGCTTGCCGAGTGCTAACTCAGCCGGTGTCTGCATCCAGCTGCGAGCGCAATTGGGCGGTGTGGGATACTGTCCACACCGCCCGACGCAACCGGCTGGGTTCAGAAAAGTGCAAGGATCTGGTTTACGTTGCGCACAACTGGAAGGTTGTGCACAACTGGCACATGGCCGACGAGGGGGCGGGGGTGGTGTCCAGTAACATCCCGGACGCCCCCGTCCCTGCGGGGTACAGGGTGGATCGGGAGGAGGAGGATGAGGAGGGCGAAGATGAGGAGCTGCTGGACGAGTACCTGTAGAGGAGAGCAGGAGAGGGTTAGGCGGGCGGTTTGGGGGAGGCTTACCTGAGATGGGTGGTTGGCTGGTTGTTGGAGTTTGGAACCCTTGACATGCCCTTGGTGGCTTGAACTATTTATTTATTACCATGCTAAATGATGCCACATTTGGTGGGGGGAATTTGGTGCTCTGAACCCCCCCTCTTCCCTCCCCAAACAGGTTTTTTTTACCCCTGCCCGAGTTGTTTTTATACCTGCCCGCCAGAGCGTATTTCCTAGCGTATCCAATCCCATAATGAAGCGTACAGCGTATATACGCTAGCGTATAATACGCTTGCGTATAATACGCTGGACGCGTATTTCTCCACTTAGGGGATGGGTAAGTCATCAAGGTGTGCTGACGCAGTTGGTGCAAGAGGGAGTGAAAAACGCAAGGAAAAGCGGCAGAGGCAGCAGCGGGGAGAGAAGTTGCAGCAGAGGAGAGGAGGGGGAGGCAGTGGCGCGGGAAGGAGGGAACTGACAATGCCTTGGAAGAGCAGGGCGGGGTCCTTGGGCAGATAAGCGCCCGCCTGCTTGATGAGGTGCGGGGGGAGACTGCCCCTGGTGGGGTGAAGGGGTGCAGGGGGGAGGGAGATGGCTGACAGGCATGAGGGGAGATGTTATCAATCCATGTCGCCATCGCCCCTGCAGGAAGGAATATGAGACACGCCGGTCCTCATCTATCACACACGCTGCTGCGACTCACATGTCCTCGAGCCTCTCCCTGATGAACTTCCTGTGCTCCCGCACCAGCTCTGCAAACGGCCGCCACTCCTCTCCCACCACCACCTCTTCCTCCTCCTCCGCCCCCCCTTTTTTCCCACCATTCACATTTGCCCCATTTTCTCCACCCCCCTTCACTGCCCCATGCTCTTGCGTCGCCTCGTCTCCTGCTCCCGTCTTCCCTGCCTGCTTCTCGCTGCCCAGGCCCTTCGCCTTGCTGCTAGGAGCGGCGGAGAGCGGCGTGGCGGGGAGCGGCAGCGAGTGCAGGTGCGAGAGGGACGTGGCAAAGAAGTCCGCTAGGGCCTGCCGGTCCGCAGGCGTGGCGAGATCCGCGCTGCAGTGGGCGGGGGGGAAAGGGGGGTGGAAGGGAGAGAGGGGATGTGAGGAATGAATGAGATCCGAGAGGCGAAGGAGAGACGGAAGGACCCGAGTGGCACAGCAGGGAGGTAAGGGATGGGCAGCACAGCAGACCCAAAACAGCAGCATAGACTCACACGGCGTCCAGCTGCCAGCCAGGGCAGCGCCCAGTGATGATGTACGGCCACACGCCCTCCTCCGCCTCCTCCTCATCCTCATCCTCCTCCTCGCCTTCTTCGTGTTCCTCTGCTTCTCCCTCATCCCCCTTGCCCCCCCCCACCCCTCCATCCTTCCCCTTCTTCCCTTTGGCCTGCTCCCGCCTCTTCCTCCTCTCTTCTGCTTTCTTCTTCGCTCGCCGTCTGTACGCCGGAGTCCGAACGTCCTTCCCCCCCTCCTTCCCCTTGCCGCTCTTCCCCTTCTTCCCCCCTCTCCCTCGAGCCACCGTCCCCTGCACCTCATCGAAGGGGTTAGAGGGGCGGTTTTCTTTCACGCCGTCCCACTCGGCTGCCAACAGCTGCTCCTCCTGTGGCGCCACTGACACCGCAAACGGGTACCCCTCCTGCTCCCCTTCCGCCCCATCAGCCCCTGCATCTGAACTCCGCCCATTGCTCCCCACCCCATTCGCCTGCTTTTCCCCGCGCCCACCCCCCTTCCCCTGCGCCCCCTCGCCCCCCTCCGCCCCCCCTGACGAGAAGAGCAGCCCCGAGGCCACGAGGGGCGGCACGGAGGCCAGCAGGGGGGACTGCGACACACGCAGCTGGCGGTAGAAGGCCAGCTGCGGGGACGACGGGGGGGAGAAGGGGGGGTTTGTGTGGGGCGAAGAGGGTTGGTGGGTTTGGCACTACAAAAGCCATTATTACAAAAAAAAGGGCGTGAACGAGGAAAGAAGGGCGTGAACGAGGAAAGAAGGGCGTGAACGAGGAAAGAAGGGCGTGAACGAGGAAAGAAGATGCGTGTGAAAGGAAAGAAGATGCGTGAACGAGGAAAGAAGATGCGTGTGAAAGGAAAGAAGATGCGTGTGAAAGGAAAGAAGATGCGTGTGAAAGGAAAGAAGATGCGTGTGAAAGGAAAGAAGATGCGTGTGAAAGGAAAGAAGATGCGTGTGAAAGGAAAGAGATGCGTGTGAAAGGAAAGAAGATGCGTGTGAAAGGAAAGAAGATGCGTGTGAAAGGAAAGAAGATGCGTGTGAAAGGAAAGAAGATGCGTGTGAAAGGAAAGAAGATGCGTGTGAAAGGAAAGAAGATGCGTGTGAAAGGAAAGAAGATGAGTGTGAAAGGAAAGAAGATGCGTGTGAAAGGAAAGAAAATGCGTGTGAAAGGAAAGAAGATGCGTGTGAAAGGAAAGAAAATGCGTATGAAAGGAAAGAAGATGCGTGTGAAAGGAAATAAGATGCGTGTGAAAGGAAAGAAGATGCGTGTGAAAGGAAAGAAGATGCGTGTGAAAGGAAAGAAGATGAGTGTGAAAGGCATGGACGTGCAGGTGCGTGTGGCGCTGACCTCCTTGGCGAGGAAGGCCGCAGCGGACTCGTCGCCCGACCCCATGGGCAGGTACAGCTTCACCACGTGATCCCCCACCAGATAAACCTGCACCAAGGGGTGGGGCGGTGGAGAGACGTGATGGCCGCTTGGGTAGCACACACAGAAACGGTTGAAAGAACAACAAGACACGAGAACAAGAACGAGAGAGGGAAAGAGGGGGGACGCAGAGGGGGGAGGGAGAGAGGGAGTAGGAGAGGGAGAGTTTGGGCTCACAGCGTTGGATCCAGAACCGAGGGGGAGGGCGTCGAGGCCCTTGGGGCAGGGCAGGCCATGTGCCTCGCACACAACAGCCACACGCCTGTGCCACGTGGCAGCATCCATGCACAGACACGCGTTCTGGCAGCACAGGCAGAAAGGGACGGGGGGACACGAGGGGGGGGGGGGGATAAACGAGGGGCTGTTGAAACTCGAAACAGAAGGATGTGGCTTGCAATGCTAGTGAAGCAGGCGTTGTGCGCCACAAGAACAACGAGGTGGAATACACTGGTGCAGAGGGCAGTGCTATGGTGAGGCAGGGTGCACGGAAGGTTGGCTGGTGCGGAATGGTTGGGGAGCAGGGGGGCGGAGCAGGAGTGCGGAGCAGAGCAGGCGAAGCAGGGGCGCGGAGCGGCGCAGCACCTTCCAGATGCGGTCCTGCAGGTGGGGCTGGGCGGGCCACAGCGAGCGCAGCAGAATGCGGATCTCCGGCTCAGACCACCCCTCGTTGCCGCCCTCGCTGAGGAACTGCTGCGCTGCCAGCGCTGACAGCCGCCCCTGCAGCCCGTTCCACACCCCCTCCTTGCCCTCCTCGTCCCCTTCCCCCTCGCTGTCTCCTTCTCCCCCCTCCTCCCCACCCCCCTCCCCTTCTCCCTCCGCACTCCCTTCTACATCCTCTCCTTCCTCCACCTCCTCCCACTCATCCTCATCCTCCTCCTCCCCCCCTTCCCCATACATCGCCTTGAGCCGCTCGTCCCACTTCTCCCCCGCCTCGATCGCCAGCTGCCCCGCACGCGCCACACCTCTGTGCCGCCCGGGCACCATGTCCAGACAAACGCAGTCGAAGTTGGCAGATGAGGCGAAGTTCTGCGTGACGGCGACGGTGAGGTCGAGGTTGAGCACGCTGTGCCACCACCCCGACGGCACGTAGATGGTCTCGCCCGCGCGCTGCATGGCCTCCATGGGGCGGTCCTCGGGGCGCAGCAACGGGTACACCTCCAACCACCACTGGGAGGGAAAGTAGGAGGGGAGCGGGAGTGTGGGTGTGGGGTAGAGAACGGATTGATGTCTTCATGGCCGTTTCCGCACTCTCGCTACTCCTACATGCCTTCCCTCGCCCCTCGCCCACCAATTCCCCTGCGGCAGAAGCATGCTTCACCCCCAAAGTTACTCTTTCCCCAAAAACCTCTCGTCTCCTCTCCACTCCCCCCCCCCCCCCTCCTCCTCTCCAAACTCACCTTGAGCGACGTGGGCCCATCGTAGTCCACCTCGCCCGAGTCGTCGTCCACTCGCAGCGTGACACCTGGCGGCACCTTGCCGGGCGGGTAGAGTGCCCAGCGCTTCCTTCCAACGAGCAGCGTGTTCCAGGCGCTGGTGAGCGCGGGGTCCACGTGCCACCCCGCCCCCGACCGCTGCGGGCCCGCCACCAGCCAGCGGTACATGGGGCGGTCGAGGGCGGGCATGGCGGCGAACACGTCCTCCGTGAAGTGCGGCGGCACCGCGTAGTCGCCCAGCAGAGGAGGCGCCTCCTCGCCGAACTGGTGAGGGGGAGAGAGGAGGGGGAAGAAGAGGGGTGTTGCGGTGAAGAGCTTGGGTAAGAGCACAGGGATACGGAGAGTGAAGGACAGGTAGGGGGGGGTGGAGAGTGGAGTGGGGTAAGGGGGCACTGATTGGCACTGAATGGCAGCGAGCAATGGGGGCAAGGCGCGCACCTTGGGGTCGAAGACATAGAGCGGCTCCTCGTCGTGCTGCGCCGCCACGTAGTCGCGGTAGTCGCTCAGCTTCATGCGCACCGTGCGCCCGTTCGCCACCGACACCTTCAGCGCCACGTCAGCGTAGTCCTCCGCCAGCCTGTCGAGGCCCCAGCATGACCTGGCGCGCCAGTCCTCTGTGAGGTCCGTCATGATCACCTGGGCGCGCGTGAGCGCATGGGGCATGGGCAGAGCGCAAGACGCGCATGGGGGACAGACAGAGCACCAGAGGCGGCATGGAGCCATGAGCATGCTTGGAGCGTCGGCTTTACCAAACACCACTTCCTGCCCCCTCCCCCTCCACCACATCTCCCCCCCTTTTCCCCTTCTCCCCCCTTCTTCTTCCCCCCTTCTTCTTCCCCCCTTCTTCTTCCCCCCTTCTTCTTCCCCCCTTCTTCTTCCCCCCTTCTTCTTCCCCCCTTCTTCTTCCCCCCCCTCTCTCCCGCCCCCGACTCACGGGGCGCCGGCCGTCATAGGAGCGGCGGAACTCATCCGGGGTGACGCCCGCCCGCCTCTCCACGTGGCCCGTGTCGCCCTCGAACGTCTCGAGCTTCACGTGGCAGCGGTACCAGCGGCGGTAGAGGAACATGGACTGGAAGTCTGTTCACATCCGCACACACGCACACACAGATGTGGGGTTGAGGTGTGCACGCATAGCATGAGTGGAGGCAGAGGGACGGCATGGGAGGGGATAGAGTAGCTTGGCACGCAGAGTAGGCATAATCAGTACTGTGCGCACGTGGCTGCTGGCCATCTCACGGTCCGTGTGCACGCGTGCATGCATGTGGCTGTGTGCTGTGCTGTGCGTGCGTGCTCGTTACCCTTGAAGTGAAGCGGTGGCTTGAGAACGCGGCGCTCCACTCCCTTCTCCTCAGACAACCTGCCCACGCCAAACATACCATGCCATGCATGCGACAACCATGTCATGCCATGCATGCCCGCGCATCACCTCGTGCCATGTCAATCGATGCCATGCAATGCCATGCGGTGCCGTGCGGTGCCATGCAACGTCGTCCAATAAACCGAGAGCCAGCAAAGGGGGGAGAGGCATGAAGCACAGATGACAGCCAGCCTTGGTCCGAGCCACCTCCTCGAACCATCACCTCCACCAACCAAACCTCACTCGCATCGACCCCCACAATTCCCACCCTCCTCCCAACCCGACTGCGTCCCACTCCCACTTCCCCCCCCCACCGACCCCCCCTCCTCCCCCCCTTGGCGCACTTGTTGAGCACGGTCTGGCGCCACGAGGCGTCGAAGCGCAGCACCTCGCCCTTGTACTCGCGGAAGCACGCCGCCAGCCATGTCGGCTCCTCCACGCAGAACACGTACAGCACGCTGCGATGCGATCGGAGCACAGGAACGGGAGATGGAGGATGAGTGGAGGGATTGCATGAGAACTGGCGGCTCCCTGGGCTACTCATGATGGTAACTTGAATCAACGAATTTCGGGCGACGGGACGTGCCTGCTGACGCATGCGGCGGCCATGAGATCCTTGGGTCCCAGCCGTCGGATGATGTTGTCGATCACATCGTCGGGCAGTACCGCCAGCGCACCCAGCGCTACAGAGCGCCTGTCGCTTCCTGGTGACGTGGCGGATGCAACGGGCGTTTCGCCTGCTGCTGCTGCGGCGGCAGATCCCACTCCATCGTCCCCGCTCATTGCGGCTCACGTGAGGTAGCTAGATCCGCAGGAGTCGCTGGACGACTAAAATGTTTTAGGGCTGAGAGCAGCACTGGACCTTGGGAATTGGTGTTGCCAGGACGGGATGGGTCACAGGATTCGGGATTCGGGAATGCCCAGTCTTGAGGTGCAAATGCAAATGCGTTGCACTTTGCCGTGTGCTGTGTGGAGAGGAGGGAGGTAGTGAAGGGGACGAAGCTGCTCTCTGCGGGGGGAAAAATCCCAAGGGCGCACCCTTCATCTTGACGGGCACGTGGCAGACCCTCATTCGAAACGGCTGGAGTCCCACTCAAAATTCTTGACAGGTCGCCGACAAGCGGCAGAAACAATCGACGTAAGACGGCGTGTAGTTCAATGCATTTGCGCTAACGATAGAGACTTCTCGAATCTAACTATCAGCATACAATACAACCATGTGCTCCTAAAAATCTAAACACCAATGTCTAGCCAATTTGATCCTTCCTATAACCATCACCACGTAGAGGAACACCAAATAGGCGCGGGACTTCAGGCGAACTCCTACCGTACTCTTCATTGCTCCTGTCCTCAATCCTTCGCCTTTTTACCACGCCTTGAGCTTCTGCACTTGAATTGGGAAAGCTCATGCCATCACGGAGGTGCACCCGGTCAGCCTCTGGATGACGACTGGTCCTATTCTGAATATCTATGGCAGCTGCAGTTTCCTGGAAAGGCATTGAAATGGGAAATGCCGAGTTACTTGGAGAGGCTTGGTCTGGTGCTGATACTCCTATGCCACGGACCGCCCTTCCTAGGGATCTACCTTCTGTGCAGAGGTCTCTCGCCTGTAACGAGAAGGGAGGGGTTTGTGTATGCACCTCGTAGGGCGGAGGTAGGGTTCTGGCACTCGCAGCAGTGGCATAAAAGTGTTGCTGCAGCGCCAATTGGATAGCCTCTATTGAATGCCCTGCCACTGACCCCCCCACAGGCGCTGCTTCTGCACCCACTGCCGAGCCACTGTATGCCGAGCCAATCCCTGCCACGTCCCTTGTGGCTACTGATGCGGGCGGCTGAAGGGCGGAGGGGCGGGGCAGCAGGCGCATGACATGGTCTATGAGGCTGGGCGCTGGGCCCGCAGGGTGGGGGGGGTGGGCTCTAGATGATGCTTCGCTGCCGTCCTGTGTTGCCCCGCTGGGTAAGGTGGATACAGCCTGGTCCATGTGGAACCTGAGAGGCTGGGCCTGTGACTGTATGAAGCGGGGGGACTGTGATGGTGTGTGCCACGGGGAGAGCGACTGAGCCAGTTGCGGCGACAGGGACTGCATGGAGCGAGGCACAGCCACGCCGGGGCTAGCCACGCCTGTGCGAGGAGAGGGTTCGCCAGAGGAACACGCAGGACGCCCTGAGGCTGATGCGCGGACAGCAGATGCATGGCGCTCGGCGCATGGCAGCAAGGCGCTCGGTGCAGTGGCGGCGGGTGATAGGAAGGATGGCGACTGGAGGGCGGCGTCATCTGGCAGCCGCCTCTTCAGTGCGCTCAGCGCACTGCCTCCTGCCGCGGGCGCGCCCTGCAGCGCCAGAGAGCGAGCTTCAGGGGACTCCTGCCCCCTCCCTGATGGTGGCACCGCAGCTGCCGGTGGCGCTACCCACACGCCGTCTCTGCCCAAGGTTTGTGAAGGCGCTGACAGCATGCCGCTGACTGCTGCGTGGCTGTTGGCGCCGTGCGCGTGGCCATACACGGGCGGCATCAGCGCAGCTGCGGCTGGTGGGCGAGGCAGCAGCACGGGTGGCGCCACCACGGGCTGCGCGTGGGGCCCTGGCGGCTCCACGACAGAGAGCGGTGTATAGGCGAACGAGCTGGGCGCTGGTATGGTGGGTAAGGCGGGCAGGGCGGGGACCGTGATGCCCTGGGGAGGAAACACAGGCCGGACAGGCGCAAAACTCGCGGGTGCTATGGGAAGGTGATGCGGTTTGCCGGGCATCGAAGGGGCGCTGCCACTGCTACAAACGGTCTGGACGCCCGGCGAATGCCTCTTCGCCATCCCCCCTCGCGCCCCGGTCGCTCTCGGTCTCGCTGCAGTCTGTCGCTTGCCGCCGCTGCCGTGGGCAGCCCGTGCGGCAGGCGCGGGGATGCGAGGGGTGGTAGGTCGGTCGCCGGGTGCGATCTGGCGAAGGGTGCGGCGGGAGAGAGTGGAGTGAGGGCCGCTGGCAGGTGATATGGGCTTGGCTTGCGGGAAGAGCGCGAGGGACGCTGAAACGACAACCACGCGGCATGGGAGGAAGGCGAGTTTCGCGCAAGTGACAAGGTGCTATCATCCCCACGGAGGATGGGTTTAAGAGGGAGTTACCCGTGCGGCATTCTGCATTCAGCGGTGTATGCAGCCGCGGCGCACATGAGATCAACGCACGCAGCGCAAGGGGAGCACAGGCGGCTGTTTCGAAAAGGCCGCGGAGGCGCAGTAAGTACCTTCGATGCACGGAAGGAGGAGACGCCGTTCGCCTTGCTCCGCGGGAGGCACTTTCGGGGGCGGCGCTGGAGGTGCGGCGCCTCCCCGCGCAGCGGAGGCGGGCGCGGGGCCCCAGCGGCCGTGCGCGAGGTAGCGGCGGTCGTCGTCCTCCGTGCGGCCGATCACCACCTCCAGCGCCGCCTTCAACCGCGCCGCTAGCGTGCGGCGCTCCGAATACTCCGCCTGCGAGAACCGCGCGTCGGACATAAGCACCGGGGCTACGAGCACGACATGCCGGGAGGAGGGCGCTTGAACGCACACAACACGACGCGCGCAAAGCACGCAAAGGGGCAGAGCCTCAGAAGTTTTCGCGTGGTTTGCCTTTTGAGGTGAGACTAGCAGTCGCTTATGCCTTAGCCAAGGCGCACGTACGAGCGACGAGGCGTGGCAGTAGAGCGTGTCCTCCAGCCGCACCACTACGCTGGGCAGCGCCGCCTGCCACACCGCGCTGCTCACTGTCGTGCCCTCATGAATCGCCGCCGCGTGCCTGCCACGCGCACACGAAAAAACGTTCACTACAACCGTTGTAGTGACGGCTCACGGGATGATCCTTGGAGTCGGAGAAGCTCACACGGAATGACTCGTGGATCGCAGGCTTACTGGATCCACTCGGCCCTTACTCGATGATTCGCTTCGTCACTTCCAGTCGCGCGGGCCCGTCGCTGTCGCGATGCCACGGCTTCATCCATGCGCCTCACGCGGACTCGGCCTCCAGGCTTCTACGACGACTGGTTCTCATTGCTTCTGCATACAATGTCTATATTAGACTCCAGAACGAATGCTAAACTACTGGTCAAGGAAATTCATCTGACATATTATGCTGAACCGACTGTGTCTCCCGAGTCGAGCGTCAAATCTGAACTCACGTCAAGTGCCTTGCTTGGCAGCATCAGCGTAAGCCCAAGTCCCGGGAGAGCGATCGATAGATATATCTAGACTTGCGAAGTCCAGTTGCATCGTGGACATGATTCGCTTCGTGCCGTTTTGGCCGCTGCTATGTCACACGAGTGCTTCTTTCTGCTGCACGCCAATGCAAGCCAAAGCTGAACAGGGTGTGTGAGCCTGTGGCGTGAGAGAGATTCAAGTGAGTCGAGCTGAGAAACATGAAGGGGTTTTAGTTGTTCCGTTACTGCTACTAGCGATCCGAGCACAGCAGAAACGTTCAGAGAACAAAGAGGAGGATTTTGTCGCTTTCTGAGCAGCAAGGAAATAATTTGTATTCATTTAGGTTACCTTTTCTATCAATAGAGCACGTCCCACAATTTCATTGGTTGCACACTGTATATCGTCATCTCGCTGCTGTTCCCGAAAATCTCCGTCAACTACAGTGCACGTCGCTGGAACGAGCCTGGAAACAGAATGAGCCTCGGGTGCCGTCACTTTCTGACGGCAAAATTAACAGCGAATTCTTTCCAGACGGATTAAAATATGACGACAATACTCAATATGGGATTGCGGACTACTGCGACGAGATTGTTCACTTACATTTCATATCGATATCATTATAACAATAATTTTGCTATTTTTTTACTATGCAGTTCCATGATCTTCATAAATTAAATATATATTTTAGAAAACAATTTCCATTAATTGCCGAATATTTTCAGAAGGACTTTGCAGATTAACGTCAGCTTGGATGTCTAGTATGGTCTGTTTTGTAAAACATTTTGCAACATGCGAAGTCCTTTTGAAAATATTAGGCCATGTATTGAAACTTTTCTTGAAAGATCGATAATTGCATGAATATCTTAGACTTATATGGTAAAAAATCATGAGTTGAAAATACAATTGTACCGAAGAGATTATTATGAAATATCGAAATGGAATGTAAGTGCCCAATCCCGTCGCACTAATCCACAATCCCATATTGAGTATTGTTGTCATGAAATTAAGTTCGCTGTTAATTTTGCCGTCAGAATGTGACGGCACCCGAGGCTCATTCTGTTTCCAGGTTCGTACAGCAACGTGCACTGTAGTTGACGGAGATTTTTGGGAACAAATGCTGAGAGCAGCGAAATTGCCGTTGTACAGTGTGCAACCAATGAAATTGTGAAACGTGGTTGAATGATACAAAACGTAACCTAAATGAACGCAAATTCTTTCCTCGTGGCTCCAAAAGCGACAAAACCCTCACTACTGTGCGTGGATCCCTAGTACAAGTAACTGAACAAGCAAAAAACCCAAACATGTGAATGCATGAAGGAGGGCAGGGCAGGGCAGCCGAATCGCAATTTCGATGAGGGTTCAGGTTGATTTTGTGGTGCGGTTCGGATGACGTGTTCAATTTAGTGTTCCTGGGCAAAAGAGTAATGATTGTGGGCAGCCCGTCTCTCATGGGGGTCCCTAGGATATGCCAGCGGGACATTGGAAAGCCCCATGTGAGTGGCTGGTGTACACCCAGCGTACGACTGGTTGGGGCAGCTGCATTGCATTCATGAGTCATGACTAATGCTGATACTGTAATATCGGGAGCATGCCTGCCACCGTTCATTGGCTCTGAGCACGGTCAAAATTGTGACTTGTGTCGGAGTCTCAGAAAATCAACGGACGAGTGTCGACTTGGTCAGGTGAGATCCGATGGATCCCAGTCGGCTGCTCTTCGCTGAGTGGCCCCAGACCAAACAACCAAGCTTGATTGGCTGCGACTGGAGATTGCGCAATTTCACTGAAGCATGTTTCCCAGAACATTGGAGGGCTCGATATGATGGCCGGGCAGTTAAAAAAGAGAGTGTACACTGGACACACCATCTGTAGAAATCCATTCCATTCCCACAAAGAACCGAGGAGGGCAACACAAAACTCCAGAGCCGTACAGAACATCATTCGATGCTTCAACTTCTCGGGTTTTGCATTGCCCGCTTCCCAACTTTACAGTACAGTACCGATGGGAAAGAAAGAAGGCCACAACCAGGCCTCTCGCTAAGCCCCAGGGTATTCCGGAAGGGGACGGAATCGCCTCAGGATCACCCGTTAACAGACGGAATTTTTCCCAGAAAAACCGGCTACAACTTCGGCTAGCAAGTGATCAAAGACGGGGTTGGGCGCGGGAGGATGGAGGGGTGGGGGGTGGGGTAGTAGGGGGGTAGTGGGGGTGGGCGGTCGCTACCCCCTACAGATTTCCATGCTACAAGTATAGCCCGTACGGATTCGAAGAAAGGACTCGTTAGGCTAAGGAATCGCGCGAAATCGATTCCGTAAGTTGGACGGATTCGGAAACAATTCGCACTGAAAAAAACGGAATCATATGAAACGTTACTCTGAATTTCTTGACATTTAGAAAAAATACCTATTATCAAGAGGCCTGGCCACAACTATTTGGCCTTTCTGCACGTGGCCCAGCGCTGCACTCAATTACGTCATTGTCTCTTTCGTCGTCCCTTCTTCAGTCCCTTTCGCTGTAAGTTTCGTCGGCCCAGCGCTGTACACCTGGCGTGCGCTAATGTTAAAACATATTTGGCCGTGCGACGTTTTTAGTATCACCCTGACCGTTTCTGGGACAGCAGATAGCATTCCCAAGATCACGAAGGCTCGAGCCAGTGGAAGTCCATGTTCCGATACTTACCTGGACAACAGCACAAAAAGCCGGAATCTCACGTTTTGAACGTCGGTCAACTAGAAATCCAAAGGTCGTTGCCGATCATCATTCGGACGGAGTCCCTTTCTTGCCCCCGTTTCCCCATTTCGTTGTTGGTCGCAAAATGCTGTGCCATCTCGCGAAGGTTTCACTCCATGAGAATTTGGCAGAGCTCGCACACAGGCCCCATTCTGTAGGCATCGATTTGATAAGGGCCCTGTTCGGTGGACCTTCTTTAAGCCGAAGAGTGTTTTAATGTGCAGAGTAATCTGCTATAACGGGAGCTTCTGCAGAAGTGCCTTACACAGAGCTACTCTAGCTCTGCAGAGAAGTCTGCCTCCAGTGCGTTCAACATCCCAGCTCGACTGTTATGAATTAATCAGAGTAATAACAGGTGGTGTAATAAAGGAGTCGTGATTCAAGGGTCGTCAATACAAATGAGGACCTAGGCATTTATAGGCACAACAGGGCTAGCCGAGAACCTCGCAAACAGGTTGGGGCGACTCGGTAGGCGAAAGCCACGGAAGCGCCGCGCATTAGGTTTGGGTTTACGAAATGGTTCGGGACCGAGGAAAAAGGCCGGGCCTGGTCTTCCGAGGGCCGAGGGCGTACGCGCTGTAGTTGAGCCCAGTAAGGAAAAGGAATTTTCCTTACACCACCCCCCCTTCGGAGATGAGACTACCCACATCCGGGACACGTCGTCGGTGTAAATAGTCCCTGACAACCTTGTGTTCATCGAGCATAGCTGCGGGGACCCAGAGGTCGTCATCAGTCGTGCGATCGACCCATCGTACAAGGAAATCAACGGCTGCTGTGTCGCGAGAACCTCGTACGCGATGAGCGAGGATTTTCGATGGCTCGATCGTCGGCTCGGGTACTGGGTTGACCGTAGGATTGATATGTTTACGGTCGAGATCAGTTGTATTCGGGACGAACGGTCGCAGGAGACTGACGTGGAATGAATCGTGGATTCGCCAGTCGCTCGGTAGTTGCAGTTGGGCGGTGACTGGTGTCACCATGCGGATGATGCGGAATGGGCCGCAGAATCTTGGTCGTAGTTTATTTGGGAGGGGAATCCCCAAATTTCGAGTGTCGAGCAGGACCAATTGCCCAGGGGCAAGAGTTAAGTCACGGCGTCGTCGGTCAGCTTGCTGCTTAGCCCGTTGGTTGGCTTTGAGTATAGCGTCGGCGGCTTTTTGCTGAGACTGCCGGAGATTGTCGACGAACTGCTGCGACCTTGGTGCCGGATTTTCTATCGGTGGCGATAGAGGGGTTGTCGGGTCTATCCCGTAATTTAGGAAGAACGGGGACTGAGTAGTCGTGGCTGATGGGGCGTTGTTGTACGCAAACTCGATCAGTGGAAGAGAATCTTCCTATTGGGACGGGTCTGTGCACGTTGTATGAAGCAGCTGTTCCATCGTCTGATTGGTGCGCTCAGTCTGGCCGTCCGATTGCGGGTGGTATGCCGTGGACAGATGCAGACGTGTGCCGTACTGCTGCCAGGTTTTTGTCCAGAAATTGGACGTGAACCGAGTGTCGCGATCGCTGATGATGGCCGAAGGGATGCCGTGTAGTCGCACGATGTTCGTGAGAAATAGCTTTGCTGTCTGCTCGGCAGTGATTGTCGTCTTGCAGGCGGCGAAGTGTGCCATTTTGGTCAAACGGTCAACGACGACGAGAATCGCGTCATTACCGCTTGGACCAGCTGGCAGGCTAGTGACGAAATCCATCGTCACTTGTTGCCAGGGTCGGCTGGGTGGCTCGAGCGGCTGCAGTAATCCCGCACGTCGAAGTCGTGACGACTTCATGCGTTGACACGTGGCGCAGGAGGTGACGTACTGCTGCACGTCCGTCGATAAATCGGGCCAGTAATAATTGCGGCTCAGTAATTTGGCAGTTTTGTCGATGCCGTAGTGACCCGAGAAATTCGAGTCGTGTGCCTCCTGTATCAGTAGCTCGCGTAGGGTATGGTACGCGGGAACCCAAATCCGATTGGTACCGGATTTTAGTTAATAAGCCCCCTGCTTGACTGTCAGTTGGGGATGACTGTTAGTCGTGAAGAATGGGTCGGTACTGTATCCGTGGGTAAATAGTCCAGATAGCAGCGGATTGGTTTGGGTGATTAGGACAGCGGCGGTACGGACTGAAGGGCGGGTCAGTGCGTCGGCGATGTTGCTGGCCCCTCGTTTGTAGGTAACTCTGTAGTGGAAATTCGACTCGAGATAATCGAGCCAGCGAATATGTCGTGGGTTGAGTGTCGGTTGGGCGCGGATGAACCGGCGAGTAACTCCTTGTCGTGGACGGGATAATTTCGCTCGGCCGGATTCAGCTTTCGTGACTCGTAGGCGATGGGTTGAAGGCCTTCGCCGAAGTCCTGTAACAGTACGGCGCCCACAGCCAGGTCGCTAGCGTCGGTGATGAGTTCGAACGGACGGTGAGGATCTGCAATGCGAAGGACCGGAGGTGTTGTCAGGAAAAGTTTGAGTTGGTCGAACGCAGCCTGCTGCTCTCCCCCCCACTCATAAAACTTGCCTTTTTTCAGAAGATCCGTGAGAGGGGAAGTTACCTCCGCCATGTTTGGGATGAACCGTCGAACGTAATTCACAAACCCCAGGAAACTTTGAAGTTCGCGAAGATTAGCCGGCGGCTTCCAGTCTTGGATGGTCGCGATTTTTTTCGGGTCGATTTTAACACCGTTGATGGAGATAACGTGGCCCAAAAACTCCAGTTCTTGTTTCAGAAACTCGCACTTAGAACCCTTGGTGATGAGTCGATGCTGCTGCAGAAGAGAGAAGACTGCTTCCAAATCCTTCAAATGCTGTTCCCGGGTAGTGCTGTAGATCAGGATGTCGTCGAGGTACACAATGACGCATTTATCCAGCAGCGGCCGAAAAACTTCGTTCATGGTTAACTGGAATGTTGAAGGTGCGTTGGTTAAGCCAAAAGGCATGACCGTGTACTCGTAACTCCCGTATCGGGTTCGGAACGCCGTCTTGTAGCAGTCAGCTTCGTTGACACGGATCTGGTGGTAACCGCCTCGCAGGTCAATTTTCGAAAAGAACTTTGCCCCACGAAGTTGGTCGATGAGTTCGTCGGCGCGCGGAATAGGATAGCGAGACTTTATTGTAACCCGGTTCAAGGCGCGGTAGTCGATGCACATTCGTAGACCGCCATCTTTCTTCGGGGTGAATAGGATCGGAGCTGCGAACGGGGAAGTACTGGGGCGAACGAAACCCTTCTCGAGCAGATAATCCAGCTGGCGTCGAAGTTCCTCCAGCTCTGGTTGATTCAGCCGCCACTGTGTCCGAACCGTCGGTTGCGCGCCGGGCTCCAATTGGATGGTATGGTCGTGGTCTCGCTCTGGTGGTAATCCTAGCGGTAGGTCGTCCAGAAAGATGTCGGCGTGCTTGCGAATCAAAGTCGCCAACTCGTCGGGGACTGCCGCGCAGAGTTTGTCGATGTCGGCTGGTGCGTCGACGGCCGTGGATGCGATCCATCGAACGGCGTATAGCTGCGCCCCACGAATCATCGCGCGCTTGATGGTAACCGCGCTGACTGTCGCAGAATCTGGATTGTTCCACTTCGGAAGTCGTCGCCACTCGCCACTCCATTTGATGCGACAGTCACCTGTCCGCCAATCGATGCTCGGATTGTATTCGCGCAGCCAATCGCGTCCCAGCAGCATGTCGCAGCCGTCCAGCGTGGTCGCCAGCATCTTCGTCGTGAAGCTGAAATTTTCGCCGCAGGTGACTCGTACGTGAGGCACTCGCTCCCGTATGGCCAGGGGTGTGCCATCGACCAATCGCGCGTCGATTTCGGGTAGACACCGCTCCAGTTGCAGTCGCAATTTTTTCGCTTTCGTCACATCCATTAAACTGTGGCTTGCCCCGCCATCAACAAATATTTTTATGCGGGTATCACCAACTCTCCCTTCAACCAGCACAGGGTGGTCAACCGGTTCACCCCCCTTATTCAGCCAGGAATGGTCGATAGCCCAAATCGGCACTATAACCTGGTGGGGGTGGTGGCGTTTGGGCGACGCAGTCAAGTCAGTAGGTGGCCCATCTGCTACTGACGATCGCCATTTCCCGACTGCTTCTTGTCGTTAGGTAAGTTCTTTTTCAGCTGCAGGCAGTCTCGCACCATGTGACCCGGCTGGTTGCAGTGGAAGCAGGTCCCCGAAAATACTCGGGCTGCAAACACGTCCACGCCGTTGATTGATGTGTGTTGGGGCTGGCCTCGAAAGCGATTTCCCTCCCGGAAACCCGCTCTCGCGAGTCCACGTCGCGCGTCCAGCGCATCTGCCATGCGAACAATTTCGTTGAAGGTCGTCGGGGCTCGCAGGACGATTTCTTGTTGAATCTCCGGTTTCAGTCCGCCCATGTAGCGATCAATCTTCTCGTCCTCGCTGATCCCTCCGATTTGGTCGCAGATTTCTAGAAACGACGCCGTGTATTATTGAACAGGGCCCAACTGTCTCCACATCCGAAGCTTTGTGCGAGCATTTTCGCGCATGGATATGTGCTCGAATATGCTTTTCAACGCTTTGCCCCACGCTTTCCACGTGCGGATCGTGGTCGAACCAAAGATTGGTTCTCCCGTTGCCGTTGATGAACTCATCTCCCCAGCTGCCGCCCGTTGATTCCCTGCCGGAGCTCCCCCCTCGTCAAAATGCATGCGCCACCAGTCGAGTGCCGGTCCCCTCAGCAGTGATACAGCCAAGTTGACACGTGAGGTGTTGTCATTAATACTTGCTGCCGTGAAGAAAACTTCCATGGCGAACAGCCACCCGCTCACAGTGGTCGTCTTGTCTGTCGGGTTGAACGGTGGGGGCATGGGAGGTTTGATTTTAATGGCCGCCCGCGGTTCGCTGTGGATTTCTTCAACTGCTTCAGGTGTCGCCGACGCCTTCGCTTCGCTCGCAGCATCCTCGTCTCGGGTAACAGGCCGCTCCTGACGCGTTTCACCCCGCGTCTGGCGAAGTGACGAGTTTTCATTACGCAGCGTCTGAACTTCGCTTCCCAGCGACTCGAACTTGTCCGCGAGTTGTTGAAGCTGGGCCTGCAGCATCGTCACTGTAGCCGCCCTGGCTTGCAACTCGTCAAACTCCTCCTGAGTCACGTTCCTAACACTACGACGGGGAGAGGTTTCCGGCGTGCTAGTCATGCTGGAAATTTTACCTGACAGATCTGAGGGTGCACACGCTTTTAGTTGGAGGAGCTTTAACGAGCTCGCCTACCAACCGCTGGCCAACCCCCTATTCTGTCGGGTCCTCTCCCGATATAAACGGACTACTCTACGGAAGACTAAGCGGGCAGGAACGAGGCTCTGATACCAGCTGTTATGAATTAATCAGAGTAATAACAGGTAGTGTAATAAAGGAGTCGTGATTCAAGGGTCGTCAATACAAATGAGGACCTAGGCATTTATAGGCACAACAGGGCTAGCCGAGAACCTCGCAAACAGGTTGGGGCGACTCGGTAGGCGAAAGCCACGGAAGCGCCGCGCATTAGGTTTGGGTTTACGAAATGGTTCGGGACCGAGGAAAAAGGCCGGGCCTGGTCTTCCGAGGGCCGAGGGCGTACGCGCTGTAGTTGAGCCCAGTAAGGAAAATGATTTTTCCTTACATCGACAAAGCTTGCATTCACACAAAATTTACTAGAATCAACAAATTATGGTACACAAGGCAAACGCTAATACTGTAAAATTTTGACAGGTGGTGCATGACACTAAGTGCAGAATCTGCAACCACGAGTACTTAACCAAGGATCTTTGCTGGAATGGTAGACTAGTAAGACAGCGGAAGTCTTATAGGAGTGAACCTGAGCACATGAACTTATGGGTAGTCGAAGGTTGAATAACATCAGCACATAATTCTGTGGAAAGTCAAGGTTAATAATATAAAGGCATTACAAGGATTTATAACTCTAGGGAAAGTACCTGTTCGGCTAATTGCGTGCTATGCGACCTATTTGTCATTCTATAAGGTCGCGACTGTTCGTGCAACTGAAGCGGTTCGATACGCCTTATCGTGTAACAAAAGCGGTATGCTGACGTCATCCCGAGACCCGCGATGCTTTGCTGACATCAGCACTCGGGCATGATTACTTACTGAGAAACTCGATACCGCTAGCTACACTGAAAACATAACTTGCAGGAATGCAAAACTTCATTTACCACAACAAATACTACCTCATTGAACACTGCTATGACGTTGACATAACTCTTAGAACTGAATAAATTATTAGTAAGAATGATAGTACAAGGGTATATACCTAAGAGTGTTGTACCCTCTAAGAGGTAACCCTATACAGTCTATACAAATATGAGGTATATATATATGTTTGACACACCCCCCAGACTGCATAGGGGCAGGTCCTGAACAAACAGCTCAGGGCGGCACTAATAGTCCAGCCACTGAGACAGGGGTCTAAAGACCAGTAAAAAAGAAGTACAGACAAGGCAAGAACAAAATCAGGGCGGCACTACTAGTCCAGCCACTGAGGGAGGACACAAGTCCAATCCGAGCACAGAGATAGATATATATAGGACAGTACAAAGTCAAGGTCCAAGCAAGTGAGAGGCTACAGGAACTAGACCGAGCTGTACACAGTGCCGCTGATGATCTTTAGGCGCAAGCGCCTTCGTAAAGATATCAGCTGTATTGGCACCGGAGGCCAAGTGTACTACGCGAGCCTGGCAGCGCTGCTGTAACTCGCGCAGGAGGAAGTACCGCAGCTGAATATGCTTCGCTCTGCCCTCAAGTCGAGGCTCCTGACACAGGAGGATCATGGCCCTGTTGTCAGCATACAGGACCGGTGCAGAGCTAGGCCGCTCACCTAAGTCAGTGAGCAAGAAGGTCAGCCGGCGGAGCTCCTGTGCCGCCATGGCACCAGCGTAGATCTCGGCCTCACAGCTGGACTGGGCAACAGACAAGGAGCGGGTAGCTCTCCACGAGACGACACCTGAACCAAGGCTAAAGCAGTAGCCCTGGGAAGACCTGAGAGTCTCGGCGTCGTCTGCCCAAGAAGCGTCTGTGTGTCCAGCAAGGACCGCTGGCCTGCGTCCTCCTAGCACTAACCCCATGCCCGATGTACTTGCAAGATAACGCAAAACCCTCTTAGCGGCAGACCAGTGCTGCGGTCGGTGTCTGCCTGTGGCCACAAAGCGAGCCAGGATGCTGAGAGGGTATGCGAGATCTGGGCGACTGCAAGTCATCAGGTACATGAGGCAACCCGCCAGCTCAGCGTAAGGACCACTGGGCTCTACCGCCTCCTCGGGATTTGGAGCGGAGAGTCTGTGGGCTAGCGGCAGAGGGGTTGGCTGTGCAGAGGAGATCTGAAGGCCAAACCTCTGAAGGACCTGGCGCACCAAGTGTGAATGAGTCAAGGTGATGGTGCGCGCTGCTCTGTCCCTGGAGATCTGCAGGCCAAGGTAACGGCGCAGTTCTCCAAGGTCAGTGCAGGTGTGTCTCTTCAGCAGCTCTGCCTTCACGGAGGCCAGTGCGTCCCTGTCTGCTGTGGCGAAGACCAGGTCATCTACGTAGACAAGGATGTAGAACGGAGTTTGGCCAGCACGAACAAAGAGCGAGGGGTCTGCAGAGGACGGGAAGAACTGCAGATCAGCAAGGGTAGCACGCAGCGTGTCATGCCACTCACGGGGAGCCTGCCGCAGGCCGTAGACGGGACGACGCAGGAGCCACTGGGTCCAAGGAGGGAAGGTGCCAGTGAAGCCCTGACGGTGACGCAGGTAGACCTGCTCGTGTAGGCTGCCCTGAAGAAAGGCAGTGGAGAAGTCAAGGGAGTGAAGCTCGTAGTCACGCTGTGCTGCTAAGTATAGCAGGACCCGAAGAGTAGTCATCTTCGGGGTCGGAGCGAAGGTATGGAAGAAATCCACCCCCTCACGCTAACTGAAACCTCTAGCCACGTATCACGCCTTGAAGACAGGCGGCTCTCCAGGAGGGCGCTTCACCTTGAAGAGCCAGCGGCCATCGACTACGTTCACCCCAGGCGGGGGAACTGCGTCGACGAAGGTGCCGGTGGATCTCCAAGATGCCATCTCCTGCTCTATGGCAGCTATCCACTGGGAGGCCCAGGGTCCCGAGGTGGCCTCAGCGTAAGTGCGAGGGGTCGGGATGTCGAAAGCGTCTGGGTCACCCTCAGGGACTAGCAGCATGGAACAGAGATGGGGAGCAGCCTCTGACAGGAAAGCAAGCTCGAACTGGCGGTCCTCCAGGACGTCACTGCCAAGGGCAGGAGCACCCCCGACAGACGGAGGACAGGCAGGGTCAGAGACCAGAGCGGTGGCGTAGTCAAGGCGGCGGGTAGAGGCGAAGTCAGCGACCGCAGCGACAAGGGCGTCAAGGCTCGAAACCGGAACAGACGGGTCGGTAACAAGAGAGGCAAGGACCCGAGGAACAACAGGACGGGCGGCACGAAGGTAGTCAGACAGAGGGGGGGGAGCAACGACAAGGGAGGACGGAGGAGGCGACGGGAGAAGGGGAGGACGAGATACGTGATAACGAAGCAACATA